TTTAACTGTAAACTAAATTTTATAATTGATCCTACATCCACCCAACCAGTCGAGGCAGATGGCCGTCCCTCCCTGAGCCTGGTTCTGTCTGAGGTTTTTTTTTCCCCTGCAGGGGTTTTCGGTTCCTTCCCACTGTTGCGGACTGCTTGCGGACTGCTGAAGCTTATAGGGAATCCAAATGTTTTGGATTGTTGGGTGTTTCTGTCTCTGCCTTTGTGAAGCGCTATGAGATGACTTGTTGTTGTAAATATGCGCTATACAAATAAAATTGAATTGAATTGAATGAGCAAAAATGCTTAGAATTTGTTTGGAATTCAGAGGATGAATGTCATTATTGTATTATGGATTTTGCTTTTGTTTACGTATGAGCCTGCCATAAGCCCATCTGCTCTTCGCTCTCTGCTGTGTGTTGTGTGTACAGGAGTATTGGTGTGTTGGCCTACGTGATGCTGACAGGAATCTCTCCGTTCCTGGGCGAAGACAAACAGGAGACATTTCTTAACATTTCCCAGCTCAATGTGAGCTACACCGAGGACGGGCTGCAGCAGCTGGACCAGGCTGCTCTGTCCTTCATCCAGATGCTGCTTCGCAAACAGCCACAGTCAGTCCACACTCATTTTTCTCATCTGCATCCACTTACATATTACTGCAATTAGTGCCCTTTGTGTAATTGTCTCACCTTTGGACTTTTTCTTTTTGTTCTTTATTGTTTGTGTATACTCAGGGCAACACCTTCGTATCTTCACTAGTGGGCTACATCATTGTCCATTTACAGTGATACATGACAATGTAATATCTTTGAAGTCAGTTAAAGACAAATGGCTGTCGTGCACTGACACAACACAGAGTTGATGCAGGCTGTAAGAATTTTGATTTTTGATTTTTTTAAAACTTTTTATTTAACCAGATGAGTCCCATTGAGACTGACATCTCTTTTACAAGGGAGAACTGGCCAAGAGGGCAGCAACAAGGGTTGCAACAATACAACACAAAAAATAAAATAAAAATAAAATAAATATCATCACTATAAGGCATAAATAAATGGAATACATACAGTACATAAAAACTAATTTAAAGCAGCTACAGACTTCTGTTTTTACAGTTTGTAACAAGCATTTAATATCTCCCAAGGAAACAAGGTGAGACAGTTTGAATGTTTTCTGGATCAGATTCCAGGACCCAGGGGCATTGTAACAAAATGCAGTCTTCCCGACTGCAGTAAAGTCACGAGGGACCAAGAACAATAAAAGTCCCGGGAGCGGAGGCTGTACCCACTACTAAAGCGAATAAGGAGGCGGTTTAAATAGCCAGGGAGAAGCCCTAAGATAGCTTTGTAGATAAAAATATGCCAGTGGAGCCATCTGCGGTAATGTAGTGATGACAGTCCAGACCCTTCATATAAAAGACAGTGATGGGTAAGAGATTTGACGTTTAGAATAAAACGCAAGGCACCATGATATACAATGTCTAACGCCTTAAGGGATGCAGCAGGGGTATAAAGAACATCACCATAATCGATCACACGGAGAAAGGTAGTCATGACAAGTCTCCTTTTAGTAGTGAGGTTAAAACATTGCTCATCTCTAAAATAAAATCCTAACCTAATCCTGAGTTTTTTGACGAGTCTGTCCAAATGAATGGAAAAAGTTAGTCTGGAATCAAGCCAGACCCCAAGATATTTATAGGAATCCACTTGTTCTATGCACCGTCCTTCAGATGTGGAAATGTTAGGAGCAGGAGGCCTGGAGTGTGATCTAGAGAAATGCATAACTTTTGTTTTACTCGCATTTAAGACCAGCTTAAAGTTTTTAAAATCGGCCTGAATTGAGGTAAACAATTTTTGTAGGTGCTGGAAAGCGCAAGACAGAGAGGAAGCACAAGAATAAACAATTGAATCATCTGCATACAGATGAAAGTTAGAAGAATCTATTATATCTCTTCCAATGTTGTCAATATAGATAGTGAACAAGATGGGCCCCACAATGGACCCTTGGGGAAGATGTCCAACTGTTTTTGTGTGTGTTTGCATTCAGGGAGCGGGCCACAGCAGAGCAGTGTCGTACACACCCCTGGCTTCAGTCCTCAGAGCCTCAGGAAACTCAGACAGTGGAAAAGATCCTCTCAGCAGAGGACCAGAAACCATCCAGCGCCTCCAGTAGCTCCACCTGTAGCCCTGAACCTCCCAGCAGCACCAGCACAGCAGAGGAGGAGGAAGATGTGGAGGAAGATGTGAAGGAAGGCCCTGTGACAGAGGAGCTGATAGTCATGGCAGCCTACACACTGGGTCAGTGCCGCCAGTCCTCCAACTCCACCTCAGAGAAGGAAGCTCTGGCTACTGAGCAAAAGGCAATTTCCAAACGCTTTAAGTTTGAAGAGCCCTTCAGTGCCCTGCAGGAGGTCCCTGGAGAGTTCATCTACTGACCTCCACCTACCACATATACCACCAGCTTCTGACAGAGAAGTTAGTGTTGTCACAGTAACAAAAATAAGCCTTCTGATTATACAAACTCCCTTCCATCTATACTGTAAGTGTATAACCAGATGTTGCTGTACAATCAATCTCTTGCAAATATAACTGTTGGATTTCAAGTGCATTAAGTAAGAACCTACTCACATACTTCTCCCATAATGCATCAAGACTAAATTAGCTTGATTCCCAACCTCCTACAGTAGCTGCAGTATGTTGCGTCTCATTTAGGTTGCTGTTGTACTTTTCATGTCCACCCTGAAGAATTGGCTAAATGTACATAGTGTGACACACAGAGTTGTTTCCACAAGCTATATTTTGGACATTGAACTTCAACTGCTGCTTTTTGAAGAGTGAGGTCATCTTTCTACAACAGCCATTTTACACCAACTTTAAATGATCAAGCAGGGAGATGTTTTTTTTCTGAACAAAACTCACCTTTGGAGACTTTCAGTTTTTTGCAAATTCAAGACCCAACACTTAAATCACAAATATTTCAAGCAGTGCTTGGCACTGAAAGGTCATTTTTGACCCTGGAACCGATATAACTATTTTGAGCACCAGGTCTTTGCAATAGTTCTTCTGGAGTTCTCTGGCACATCACAGGTCTTTGGAGTCACTGTAAAACAGGGATCTCCAACTCCGGTCCTCGTGAGCTACTGCAGGTTTTAGATGTCTGTACTGCAACACACCTGACTCAAATTAATGGATCTCCAACAGCTTGTTGTCAAGTTCTACACAAGTCTGGTAATTATCCATTAATTTGAGTAAGGTGTGTTGGAGTGCAGAAACATCTAGAACCTGCAGGACAGTAGCTCATGAGGACCAGAGTTGGAGATCCCTGCTGTAGAAAAACAACTTGGAGCCCAACTGTAGGTGAGGATTGTGTCGTAGGAATGAAAGTTCCAGAGCTAGCTGCTCTGGAACTTTCATTTCTCAACACTTTCATTACCTGAGTTACCTGCATTCTAGTGTCCTGGTTATGTTTTGTGCATGGAAATATCTCATAATGGTTTCAGAGACAGCATTTTGAAAAAGGGGGAGAAATTACATTCTGGGAAAAAAGACACAAAAAAAAAAAGATAAGCTAACTGATAACAGTTACTCCTGCCGCTACTAGAAGACAATGTCCAAACATCCCAATGTACCGCTGATGTTACTGGGCTGGTAGTGGGAGTGGGAATCTCTCTACAGTGTATAAAGCTTGTGCATGCAGCACATTCACAGCTCCAGTCATCAAATCTCTGAATGTGTACTGATGACTGGTCGGGATGACTTGCAGTGATTTGTCACATTTATTAAAAGCAGTGAGCAAAACTCACTTTTCTAACTTATTTCCTGATTTTTGAACCAAATGGCTGTTGACTTGTATCCACTTCCTTGTGTGTGCTGCTTTCCTCTGAACAGAACCACCTTCTTCTATGTCAACCTTGTTTGCATCTTTCCTTTATTTTGTATTTGATGTCATGATTTTAGTGCTTGCTGTTTATTCTTATTATTATTATTGCCGGCATTTCTGTGTAATATTGCAGATATCTGAGATAATATTTGGAAGTTGTTGTTTTTTTTCAATTCTGTGTACTAAGATTTGTATTTAACAGTACTGTTTAAACAGCCATTTCACATATTCCTCTTAGAACAGGGACTGACATCTCATGAGTTCAGTCTAACTTGTACATGCAGACAAACTCACTGGTTCTGTACTGTAGATGATTTAGGTCCCTGAAACAATAAGCTCTGTAATATGGGAATATTTGTACATGAATGTCCTGTATTGTAAATAAACTATTCAAACCTGTTAAAGGTTATGGCTGTTATTTGTGAGCTGAGTACAGAATGAAACCTGCAGTTCAATATGTCAATAATACAATCAGTGAGTTACTACCTACAGCTGGTAGGAAGATGGAATCTGTATCAGGGTACTTACCTGGATAAGGCAAACATGTGGGTAAAAGTAGTCTGTGCAGTGTGAGCGCATGTTAAAGCAAAATCATGAATCCCATGAGTTCAAGGTTCATTTATAGCTTAAAAATGTTGGTTATCCTAATTTTTTTATATATATATTCTATTTTGATTAAACATAAAGCCACTTTTGTATTATGTTGATTATGGCTTGTAGCCAGAGATGTTCATAAGTCTTTTTTTGCAAGTCCAAGTCAAGTCTCAAGTCTCTAAAAAATAAATCTCTCATGTCTCTTCTTGTTTTAATGAGCTTTCTATCATCTGCTGCTATTCGGTCTACTAAGAATACTGCACAGCTATATCTAAGAAATTCAAAGCATCTACTGTATTATTATCCCTCCTTTATTAGCATGAAGTATCAGTACTGATGAGTTGTTACATGATCACTTTAAACAGTGCAATATGAAGAAAAAACACAATGAATGATTTCCTTTAAAGGAAACTGTATTCTTCCAACATGAACATACAGTTACAATATATCTTGCCCCCTATTTTGCAGGGTCAGTCGGACCATAATAACAACAAAAATATAGCAAATGTTACACCTCACCCAGTCAAAGGCATTGTAGGCTAATTAACATCCTTGCAAAACATTACACTTTAGCTCATATTACGGCCTGGCTCTTTGACCGCAACAATCAGTGGAGAGCAGACAAGATCGAGTGCCAAAAATCACATGTTTATTTTACAAAATAAGAAAAAATGAAGCACAAAGCAAAAGCAAAACCAAAACAGCCGCGCTGCAAAGCACGCATGTGTCGCAGAGGCGACCAGGTGGAGTGAGAGCGAGCGTCAAGGGGAAGAAGAGGGTTTTAAACTGTACGGGCCCAGGTGCAGTCAGTCACCTTGATGACCACTCTGCCTTGATGGAACCATGCAAAGCAACACAAAGATGGAAAAACAACAAGCACACACCTAGTGGCACAGAGGGATCGGGATCGGGATCGTCTCTCCGTCAGTGGGACTTGCCAGTACCCCTTTAAAAGGTCAAATTTACTGACAAATCGAGCAGAACCAACCTGATCAATGCAGTCCTCAATTCGAGGCAAAGGATATGCATCTGGTTTGGTCACTGCATTGACCTTGCGATAATCTGTACAAAACCTTGGACTTTTGTCAGACTTCTCAGCAAGTAAATAGGGTGATGCCCAGCTTGACGATGAGGGCTCTGCAATGCCATTCTCAACCATGTGCTAGATTTCAGCATCCATTAACTTGCGCTTCTCTTCAGACACACGGTAAAAACGCTGACTGATGGGCTATGTGTCACCTACATCAATGTCATGCTCTATCACATGAGTTTGGCTTGGTATATCACCAAACAACCCAGGAAAACTACAAATAAGAGCAGACAACTCAGCAGTCCTTTCTGCAGACAAATGACCCAACAAAACTTCAAGTTTTGTTAATGTTTCTGAGTTTTTCAATCTGCCACGTAACAAGCTTTCATCTGGTGCTGCAACCCCATCACCCTCCCCTGCAGAAAGCTGACTCTCCACCACCGCTGCTGCAGAGAGAGGTTTAGACTCACAAGCATAACAGGGTTTAAGCAGATTGACATGGCAGAGTTGAGTCACTTTTCTACGACGTGGTGTGGACAGCAAATCATTTTGGTGAGAAACTTGGCGCAACACGGTAAAAGGACCAGAAAATTTAGCTTGGAACAGCAAATTTACCAAGGGCAACAGCGCAACAACCTGATCTCCAGGACTAAACACCCGCTGCTCCGCTTTCTGATCATAGAGACGTTTCATTTTCTCTTGAGCATTCGACAACCTATTTTTAGCTAGTTCTCCAGCTGAGCACAAACGATGCTGGAAACCCTTTACATACTCAAGCAAGTTACCAGGGGGTTCTAATGGCGTAACCGCATCATGCAGCAGTGTGAGCGGCCCATGGACTGTATGGCCAAAAACAAGCTCTTTAGGGCTAAAACCTGTGCTGTCCTGCACCACTTCCCAAGCAGCCAACAGAAGCCACGGTAGCCCTTCCTCCCAGTCCTGATTCAACTCGACGCAGTAGCTCCGTAGCAGGGACTTAAGGGTTTGATGAAACCTCTCAAGCGCTTCCTGACTCTGTGCATGATAGGCAGAAGACTGGTGGTGTTGAACCTTTAAGCTCTTCAACCCCTGTGCAAACATCTTCGATGAAAAATTTGAGCCCTGATCACTCTGAATCACCCTCGGGATTCCAAAAATGGAAATAAAGTGACTCAGTGCTTTTACGACTGACTTGGTGGCAATGGAGCGCAGTGGATAAGCAGCTGGCTAATGTGTGGTTTGACACATAACAGTGAGTAGGTAGTTACTACCAGCTTTTGAACGAGGCAAATGACCGACACAATGAATTATCAAATGTTCAAAAGGTTGTGCAATCGCTGGAATAGGGAACAGTGGAGCAGGTTTAATGCTCTGATTGGGGTTACCTGTCATCTGACATGTGTGACATGTGACACGTCTCTTTTCAATCGAGGCCAAAAGAAATAACGTAGAATGTAACTATACGTTTTACAAATGCCCAGATGTCCTGACTGGTCATGGGATGTCTTAAGGACCTCATCACGAAACTTCACAGGAACCACAATCTGAAACACTGCCTTACCAATGAAATCATCCCCCTGTGGCAACCATTTCCTCACCAAGAGGTCGCCTTGCAACAGATAACCATTAGCTGCACTCTTCCCCTCTTCCATGGAGAGAACAGCTTCAAACAGTGGTTTCAGGAAAGATCAGCTCTCTGCTCCAACACCAGTTCACTGTGAGACACAGACAACATTGAGTCAGAAACAACAGTATCCACTTTGCTCACCTCCTCTTCAACCTGCTCAGGTTCTTCCTGCGCACCATCGGTGACACAACTCATAGCCCATGTGACCGTGCAAGCCGTGAACACTTCAGGGAAATACTGAGCATTCTTCTCTGGATTACTAGTCACCATGGGTGAAAATGACACTATAGGAGAGGGTGGACCCTCAGCCCACACCCGCCTGCCAGCCAGACCATTACCCAGGATGACATCCACACCTTTAATTGGCAGTGCAGGACGGACCCCACGGCTACCTTACCCTGCACCAAACCACAATTAAGGACAACAGAATGCAGAGGAACAGGCATGACATCCAATCCCATGCCTCGCATTAAAACAAAGTCCCCTGTGTGAGAATCATCAGAAAATGGCAGCACAGAGCTCAAAATATATTAATCATAGGCTGCAGTGTCTCTCAGAATTTTTACCGTCATACTATTCCCTCCGACCAGTGACACATAGCCATCCGGCATAAAGGCAGAGAAGTCAGGCTTCCCCAACCTACATGATTTTTCTCCAGAATTTACCTGCTGAGAGAGAGACAGCAGGGACAGGTTTCACAGACACATCACAAACACCAGAGTTTACTTGACCAAGACCATTCCTCTTTTTAGACATGGCTTTGGGACAGTCAGCTTTCCAATGTCCTCTACTCTTG